GGTTGGCACCCTGGGAGCAGCATGACTAGAGCAGGTCTGGGCACTGGGATGGTGGAACCTCAGGCAGCTGTGCCCACGTTCCCAGAAGTCTTGGGCCCTTCAGTGCCAGGGCAGCGGAAGACCTGCCATACTCCGAAGGCTATTGGTCTCTTGAGCTGCAGTACATCTGGGATCTTCCTGGGAGCAAACTCTGCCTGGTGAGCTTTTAGCCTCTCAGAGTATTGACTTTGTTTCTGGTTTTATCGTGATGGTTTCCTTTTGTTTCTTTAGTAATACTGGGGTTTACACCCAGACCCTAGTTATGCTGAGCAAGCATTTTATCACTGAGTGACATCCCCAGTAGTCTTTTTTAAGAAGATTTAAGAAGTGTTTTGTATTTGCTATGTACTGATCACTTCTGCCGTTTCTTACCCTTCATGTCTGTCCAGGTTACTTCTGACCTCATTTTCCCTCTGCCTCAAGGACCCCTTTAACACTCTTTGTTTGCATGCGGGCCTACTGATAATGAATTTTTGCTTTTTGTATGTGTAAAATGTGCTTACATTGCCTTATTTTTGAAAGGTGTTTTTACTGGCTATGAAATTTTTTATTACTTTTTCTTTTTCAGTACTTTAAAACTGCTGCTTAATTGTTTTGTCCTTTGCATTGTTTTAGGCAAGAAACTTTCTTTGAATATCACTTTTGTTCTCTTTTTTTGGTGAGTTTTTTTTCCTTTCAGCAACTTTTCTTTTTCTTTTAAAAAAGTAGCTTACTTTGTACTTTGGTATCACTTTTCTCCAATTTCTTACTTTTTTTGAGTTCCTTGCGCTTCTTTGCTCTGTAAGTGTATCGTTTTTATCCCGTCTAGATGAAGTTCAGCCATTGTTTCTTCCTGTAATTTATCTTTGTTCTCCTTTGGGGACTGTGACCACAAGCACACCAGCCTTGTGCAAGTAGCTTGCAGGTTGCTGGTGCTTCTTCTGTTGAATTGTTTTGCCCTCTGCGCTTCCTCTTTGTTTCTGTAGCTGTGCCTTGGAGTTTGCTAACCTCTTCTGCCAACTATAACCTTATCTACTAGTTTACATTGTAATTTTCCTTTGTAGAAATAAATTTCACGTGATTTTGTATCTTCTTAGTAAGTGTATTTTCTCTTCTAGCCTTAGTAGTATAAGGAACATGATGATAACTGGGCGATCTCACTCTGCATCCTGTTGCTGTGCCTTTCTGGGCTGGTTGCGCCCCTGCATGTGCTCTCAGTCCCCAGGGGCCCTGAGCTGCTGAGTTGTCTCCACACTGAACTGCCCTGTTGGGGCTTCTTTATGTAGCCAGTGGTGCCACTTACGGGGCCCTCTGGATTATTTCTGTGTCTTAGGAGTCACTGCTCTTCATGGCCTGATTTCTAGGGTCTTGAAAACCATTGCTTCATATATTTCATTTGGTTTTTTAGTTTATTCGGGTTAAGAGAGAAGCTGTAATCACTTTTGCTGTATCTTGGTTGCCACTAAAGGTGATACCATATTTCTAACTGATATAATTTAACAAAAATATACTTCCACAGTAAAAGTGAACCAGAAGTTGAAGCCTTTGGTTTAATAGTATCATCTTCTATTCTAGTCCCAAAGTGAGACCTGTATTAAAGTTTTAGACTGACTTTGTATTTTGATAAATAAAACAATCAACGGTAAGCCTATGTACATAAAAGTAACAATGTGTAAAATGATTGCTTTTATTTTTTGTTGGTATCTTTTGGAAACTGATTCAAAAGTCCGATTTAGAGAAGGGAGTTTAAAAGCCTAGTTTTGTTTATAATTTAAACTAACCTTTGAGTCCAGAGACAGAAAACAATCCAAATGATTTAATAAAGACAGTATGATTCATTTAGTTTTGATAACAAGATGTCTGTGTCTGTTGAGCAGCCTGACATCTAAATCATGAGTACTGTATCAGCTGTCTGTCTCAGGGCAGCGTGTGGCACTCCCTGTGAAGTCCCCATGCCTGGCATATGAGTGCTCTTCTGGGACTGTGGGATTGGGGAGGGGGCGTGGCTGTGCGTGCTGAGTGAGGAAGTGGACTCAGGTGGGCAGAGCACAAGTCTGACTCACACTGCAGGTGGAGTAACCAGCTCTTCCTTAGTGTGAGGTTGTGTTCTGCCTATTCTTTTAAAGGTGTGAATAGGAGATTGTCACGCAAAGAATTACACGTGAAACATTTTCTTTTGAACCCTCATGAGGGAGCTGGTGTGCAGCTTGTCATGAAGGATCCCTTACTCCAGTGAAGACCTTGATCACATGACCCCTGCTTTGCTGATGCCTCACTGATGGAGCCTTACCTGGTGCATAGCTTACCTCATACCAAAGTCGACTTCTGAGTGGATACAAACATTTAGAAGTCTGATGGTTGACTCTTTATTACTAGCATTTTAAAATTTACTGTCTTAAGGTTTAAAGTTTGAAGTTTGACATAGGCGTAATAAGTGCTATTAAATTGAGGCTTTGAGTATTGTTACTTTTTGTTAAATGTTAGTACTTTTAGTTTGAAAAGTACTTTTTTAAGATGATAATCCCTCTCAGTTTTGAAATTTATTTTTTAAATTAAATTAAATTTATATTTTTGGTCCTGGGGATTGAACCCTGGTCCTTGTGCATGCAAGCAAGAGTGCTACAACTGAGCCACATCCCCAGCTCCAAAAAGTATGTTTTGTAATTTATCATTGTGGCAAAAACCTCTTGACTAGGAGTTTAGAGAAATGATTGTCTATTCTTTGTAGATTTCAGAATTAAAGAGTTGTGTGAGTTTTCCAGAATAACCTATTAGTTGATCTGGGTAGATTTTGCATCAGTTAACATTGAAATGGCAGTGTCCTCAGAACTAGTCCCTTTGTGTGGTTCCTCTGTGCACTACCAAGAGGCCATGTGTGTCCACCTGAGACTTCTCTAGAGCCCAGGGATTTAATGGCAGCTTGGCCTGGCCTGGCAGAGCGTCCTTGTTGGGACTGGATGCTGACTTGGTTGCCAAGTGTGGAGCCCCTGTGTAAGCTCTGCTGTTCCCCCCATTCCTGTGCTTGCTTAGTGGTCCCCCTTTCTCACAGCAGAGGCACAGGCCATGGCCAGCATTCACTGTGGTTTCTGTGTGGAGTTTGCACATTGCACAGGTCCCTGAAGATGGTCATTGAACTCTGGAGAAAACATTAGGCCTTGTGTGTGCTTTACTGCTACAGCTCCTAAAGTGCTCTGTCTGTTAGTGAAGGGTACATAGGTACTGGCAGTTTGTGATTGTTAAATACAGTGGGTGCTGTGCAGAAGCCTTTGAGAGCAGGCAGGACTCCAGTGGAGCTGTGGGGATTTCTGTTGTGGACCCTGTAGTCTCTCCACAAAAGATCCTGGGGGATGTGGAGGTCAGTGTGCATGTGAGCACCCATACTTTAGCTGCACCAGGCTGTGCAAGGGTCCTTAGCTCTGAAGGTCAGTAAACTGTCTGGGCCCTCTAGGCACCAGCACTTATTACAATAGGATTGTAACTTGCTTAAAGATAACTTGCTAGGTGCAATTAAATGCAACTTTATTTAAAAAATGAAACTTACAACTAGATATCTGTTACTGGCAGCAAAGAAGGTTTGTTATGCTTACAGAAGAGAAACTGCAGCCAGGCTTGTTGCCATCATCTTAGAATGATGTGGCAAGTGCTGTATACTCTGCTGGTGTCTGGGTTTTGACTTTCCTTAAAAGGCATGTTATTCTACATTGTCACCAATCTTTTGTTGTTAGAAATATTCAAGGACTGTTTTCCAGTTCACCTACATGAATCTCCTGTTGGAGGGACTGCAGCAGGTTCTCCTCATCATCTGCTCCCATTCTCTGGCACAGTCCTGGGGACTTGTGAGAGGTGGGGGGTATGTGCCAGGGATGGAGCTGAGCATCAAGTTCAAGCCAGCTGAAGCCATGAGACTGTGTCAGAGGCGTTTGAGACATCAGCTGAGGTCTGCAGTGGTGTTTAGCATCCTACAGTATCCTTGTAGCATTCTGGAGTTAAATTTTAGATGGCACCTGTGTAGCTTTGCAGTCTCTCCCTTGAAGACACTTAGGACCCTCTTGGCCCTTACTCACCCAACCTTCTGAACATTGGGATTTATTCCCTATCAGTGAATAGGAAGGTCTTCTCTCTTATATAATCTGTCCAATGAGTATTGGACCTGGGGCACATGTTCACTGAACAGACCAACTATTTAAACTGTTTATAAAAAAAGGTTTTAAAAAAATGTATGGTGAGTTCAAGTAATTGAAATGTGGATATATGGTGTAATCCCACTGCATTTCTTGCTTGCCTTCTTACTTTACAAGCCTGTAGCATTAAATTCAGATTAACAATGTTTTATATGGAAAAAATTATTATATTTACTCATTTATGTAATAAATATGGAGAATATGTAAGGTGTTGCTCTAGGGCTTTGGAATTATGAGTGGAACGAAGTCACTGTTCTCATAGCGTTTAAGGGAGGGGGAAAGTAGGCAATAAGTAAGTCAAAGAGGAATCAGGCCATGCGCACTACGCAAAAACTTAACTGGGAGCAAGCGCCCTAGAGGGCACACTGTCTGCAGAGGGGACTCAGCCCTCCTTTCCAGGATGCCTCATAGGCAGCAGTGGGTGGCAGGAGTGTGGGCTCAGACAGCCCCTCATCAGGCTCTGGTTTCCTTCGATCGGTCGCAGTCATCCTGCTCCAGTGAGAACGGTCACTCATCCTCCCCTGTGAGAAGCAAGTGGCATGAGTTCCGAGCCACTTGCAGGAATACTTGTGGGTACTCGCCTGCTGTGGTTCACTTGCACCTAACAGGCTCATATGTGAAGTAGATCGGGGCTGGCCAGAGGTGGCCACTGTGCAACAGTGACACAGTGTAAACTAGGGTCATTCATGAGCGCCCTCATCCCAGGAGCAAACCTGAGGTCGTGTGTAGGATTTGATCTGATGAATACTGCTTCATGTCACAAACTGACTTTACTAAGGCTCCGTTATTTTTCTTCAACAGGAATCACTAGGTTTGACCTCCTTGGAGACTTCGGAAGGTTTAATTGGCTGGGAAATTTCTATATTGTTCTGTCCTACAATCTACTCTTTGCCATTGTGACAACATTGTGTCTGGTCAGAAAATTCACCTCTGCTGTACGAGAAGAACTTTTCAAGGCCCTAGGTAATCCTGAGGGGTATGGGTATTTCTGTCTCTTTCTGCTGATTAATGACCATGCGTTGCATTTTTAGTTAACAGTAAGTCTTCATTCATTCAGTTTCTAAATGTGTACAACCTTAGAAGTCAAATTCTTGACCACCACTCATGTAGAATCATGTCACTGATTGTATTCAAACTGTTGGAGGCTGTGAATATATTTTTCATGCTTCCATATTAATGCTAAATGTTTTCAAGTTCCATACCTTAGGGGAACTGGACAATGTAAACTGTCTTGGGGTTGGGGTTTGTAATTTATCATGAAAGTAGGACAGTCAGTGATTTATTATAGAAAATCCTAACATTAACTTATTTATCTTAGTGACATGATTTAAATGCTTATAAAACCCTTGTGGTTTTAACAATTTCAAAAGGCAACTTATTGATTGGTTCATTATGGTTCATAATTCAGATAACTTAAACCGTATGAGCAGTGATCAAGCTTCTCATGCTCCCAATCCTTCCCAGCCTTGGTGCTTGGAAGTGTGATGATTGGAAGGAAAGGAGACTTCAGATTGTCAGCTTTGCTTTGACTGTGCCCTGTGAGAGGGATGACTGATTGGAGTATTGTCATGAAAAGAAAAAGCTACATCTCCTTTCAATCAGAGCCCCAGATAAATTTCGTAAACTTTAATGCCTAGGTTTTATAATGCTGGCAATATCAAAAGCTGCAGGATGAAGTGGGACTCAAGCAGTTCTCTTGTTGGATATTTAGAATTAAGCCTTTTCAGGGCTGTTGTAATAGCAGCAAGATTCAGCCTCCATTATGTCAGATGGACTCCACTCCTTCCCTGCAGTGGCTGTGGCGGCCAGCAGTTGCCAAGACAGCCTGGGGTGCCAGGGTTAAAGGAGTAAAGGGGACCCGGTGCAGGCAGAGCTCCTCTGTGGTCAGTTTCTTGACCACAGAAGCAATGCGATGTCCAAGAGCATGTGAAACTATGTGATATATACAGTTACTTTTCTTTCTAAATGTTTTCCATTGTCCGCTAGCATGTTCTTCTGGGGCAGTTTATGCATTGAAAAGCTTCCTAAGTATAAACATGACTTCATGGAGAGTCATAGTTTGATTCTGAAACTTACTATATATATATATATATATATATATATATATAGTAAGGTTTTTTTTTTTTTTTTTTTTTTTGAGATAGGGACTTACTCTTTAGTTTAGACTGACTTTGAACTCACTGTGTAGCCCAGACTAGCCTCAAAAGCATGGTGATTGGAACTGGGGATTTAGCTCAGCACCATAAGTGCCTGCCTGGCAAGCGCATGGTCGTGAGTTCGATCCCCGGTACCGATAAAAAAAAAAAATGATGATTCTCCTGCCTCAGCCTCCTGGGCTTTGTGATTACAGGCATGTGTTTATATTCTTTTTCTCTGTCTTTTCACTTTTATTATGTTCTCTTTTAGTCTTTTTTCTCTTTTCTTTTTCCCTCCCCTTCCTTCCCTTCCCCTGCCCTCCACTCCCCTTTCTCTCCTCTCCTCTTCTCTCCTATCCTGTCCTCCCATTTCTTGTTTTGTCTTGTTTTAGTTTTCCTAGTTTCCTCTTCTCTCCTTTTTTCCTTCTTGTAGTCTCCCCCACCCCCACCTGCTGCTGCTATGTCCAAGGATTGTAATAGTCTCTATGTCACAGCGTCCCTGGAACATAACAGCTACAGTGAAGGTGGTGTCAGGGAGGTGTCGCTGAACCCTCTGCAGAAGAGGGACACTGTGGTTTTCCAGAATGGACTGTTTAGATCATACTCAGGTTTCAGAAATGAACCCAGCCCATCTTCCTTGACCCACTGTGCTCAGTGGCTTTTCTCATAAGCATGGCTCTAACTGTTCGCGATGAGGCTGTAATTTGTATGTTTTGCTGCTGGGCAGCTTAGGCCATGTGTGGTGAATGCATGACTGCCCCATGCATGATCATATCACTTGTGCCACCAGTTGTATATGCTGCCTGATGGGTCAGTTGTGCAGGTACCAGCGATGGGACAAGCCAGGGGGCATGTGTTAGTGCTGTTTCCCGTCTTGACAGCTGGCTCCTCCTCTGGCCACTTAGTGGTTTGGCCATTCCTGGGGCCAGAACCATTTTTGTTGCTTTTGGATTTTTTTTCCCTTCCCAAATGCCACAGAAAGACTCAATTTTACTTTTCTGTCATTCAGACATGCAGATGACAGAATGTTTAAAGTTCAGAATGCTGTGTTGGTGTAAGGAAATGTGATAGGAAATTGTCTGATAGTCAGGAAGATTATCACAAACAGTCTTTTTCAACTTAGTTTTTGAGGCCTCAATAGGGTCTGAGCCACATGGGAATTGTTTCCTCAGAATCTTCCCTGTAGAGGTGCTGCTTATGGACTTGATTGTCACAATGAATTCTTTCCTGTCGAAGTGCTTGAAGCTTTGTCAGTGTTCTACCTTCTCTTCCTGTGAGGGCATAATGCTGTTCCATGCAGCAAGTGTAAATCAGTGCTGTGAGATAGGAGTTTATGTCATGGGAAAAGGCAGTGATGGTTCTTTTATTCTCTAAATGACTTTGACTTGTGAAGTATTTTTATATTCAGTTTGTTCCTTTGCCATTCTTTATTTTTTTTTTCTGTTAATTTTCCCATTGCTTTTTGAAAAATTACATGCCTGATATTTTGGTATCCTTGCTTACATTTGCCTGCATGTGCATATGTAGAAGTGTCTTTTAAACAAAAATGGGACCATATATGCTTCAGGTTTGGGTCCCTGGGAAGTGCATTTTGGGATAGAAATGAGTTTGCTAGGAGAGCTTTGTCAGAGGAGAGGGAGAGAAAGCGGGAGGGACTATGCAAGAAGAGGCTTGCGCTTTTTAGCCTCAGTGGGCCCTGTGATGCTGATGGTGGTGATGGTGGTGACACTCAGAGGCTTCCTGGGTTGAGAAGAGCCCTACACTCTCACATCTGCTGAGCCATGGTGGCAGATTGTGCGGTGCCTCAGTGATTTCCTGTTCAGCTGCTCCTTTCTGCTAAGGCCATTTGAAAGGAGCTGCTGGCAGGGAGAAGAAATCTGTGTTTCTTCAGTTACATTTGACCAGCTCACCACAACCTCCACAATGAAACTGCACATTCCGCCCGCCAGACTCTTCTCCCCAGCACCCAGCCCTTTCCCGTCACTCAGCAGCACAGCACCGCTCACCCTTTCCTTAACTTTCCTGCAGGGCTGCATAAGCTTCACTTATCGAATACTTCAAGGGATTCAGAGGCAACCAAAGCATCTGCAAACGGGCACCAGAAAGCACTGTGAGACCCCGGCGGCAGGCGTTCTGCAAGCAAGAGTCAGAGGTCCACATCCTGATACCCCACCTGCACATGGAGAGCATCTCCACACTGACCTCGGTGCATGTTTAGGGCCTGGGCCAGCAGTGTCTGCTGTAATCTAAGAATCTGGCTACTGCTGATCTTGTGTTTTAAACTCAGCTTTCAGGGAAACTCAATAGTTTCCCGTGCAGCACAGATTCCTGGAGACACACAGGAAAGTATACTCCTCCGTGGCTCTCGTCAGTGAGGTGTCATCCTGATGTGAAAACTATGTCAGAAATGGCAGAACAAGACTTTGTTCCCATATGTGTCATTCACCATGGAGACACCCACTGCCAGGGCCACCTGGCACCAAGGGAGGTTTGTGGGCCTGCAGAAGCAGCTCACAGAGTCTCTCCCTGCAGTGGCCGTACTGGAAATACAGTAACTGGACATTCATTTTTTATTTCCCTATAAAAAGTGTACTTTCCAATTTAGATTACAGAATTTCCACTAGACTTTGAGCCAAGGAAAAATGCTAAATCCTTTAAGACCTAGAGCCTTGGTGACAAGCTGCAGGAGCGTCTTCTGTGCTTGTTACAGAACGCCCTGTAAGAGCATGCAGGTCATCACGGCTGAGGGCAACGGACCTGTGTGTGGCTCAGTGTTACCTCTCATAATGCAGCTACCAGTGTTGAGCACACTTGTAATTTAGATTTTGCCTTATAGGTTATACATACACTCCCTTTTTAAAAGTATTCTTTTTAAAAAAATCACTTAATTCCCTCTGTATCTATGATGTGTATGAGAAATGTTGATGCTAAATGATAGGAGCCCCTTTTTTCCTCATACTCTTCAGGTTTTGGTTATTTTTGTGTACTCTAAATTAAGCCTATAAGTTACCAGCACAACACCTAGAACTTACAAAGTCGGCATTCTTGATGTGAGACTTAGGTTTACACTATGACATAATCTGCTAATCATTCAGCTGCTACATTGTAAATAATCATTGATATGGTTTCTTGACTCTGAGTCCACTGATCAAAAAACATTAACATATATGCCAGGCGTGGTGGCACACACCTGTAATCCCAACACTTGGGAGACTGAAGCAGGAGGATTACTATGAGTTCAAGACCACCCTGGGCTACAAAATGAGTTCAAGGCCAGCCTGAACTGCATAATGAGACCCTGTCTCAAAAGAGACAAAACAAACAAACAACAAAAAACCCCAGTAACATATGCTCTGCATTTTCACTCATTAGGCTGGACTCCTGAGCACTGTGCATGCAAAAATAAAAGGTTGGCCGCTCTGCACACAGTTCCTAGTCATATAATCGTATAAATGGGTGTGTTCATAGGCACCATGTGCATGGTGATGGGCTGTCTGTGTTCAGACAACAGTAAACAACATTTCCCCCAAATTATTCAATGTGAAGATATTTAGGGGGAAGGAAGAAATGTATAAACAAGCTGTATCTATTGACACAAAAATTTCCACATAGACCTAAACCATAAGAAAATCTAATCTGAACCGTGTAAGTTGCACTGAGTAAACTTCCCATTTATACTTCCGCATTTCCTTCTGAGCTCCACATCTTTTGAAGACACAGCATAGCTTTACAGGAGATGAGTGCTCACTTTGTGACTCTGAGCAGCACTTGGCACAGGCCGCCAGTCTTGGATGGGTGGGTTTCTCAGCGTGTGACCTGTGCACCTAGAAGCTTAACATGATGCCAGCTGTTTTGTAATTTCACTGGTGATTCTATCCACGCTAGTATTAGTGGCAAGCTTTGATTTTTTTTACTGGATATTGGAGTCCACACTTTGAGCCGACTAAGTCCAGGGGAGAACAGAAAGATGCTATGTTCTAAAATCACTTCTATATCAGTGTCAGGGCACATCCAGTGAAAGAGTTCCTGGGCATTTGTAAGCTATCTGAATGTTTTTTAGTAAAATATTAAACTTTTCATTGTCTGTGTCTCAACGGTTTATTCATTTCAAGGTTTCTTTCCTCCCAAGGATGTAAGCCAGGCTTGCGTCAGTCAGCTTATAAAGTGAGTTATAAACATCGTACTTGTTGGACACATCATTACTCTTTTGGAACAGACGGTGAGCATTGGGGGAAGGCTGGGTTCTCCTTGGGGCTCAGGGTGCCCTCAATGTTAGATGTGCAGTCTGCTGCAGCAGCACAGTCCAAGGACCCGTTCCTGGTTGCAGGCTGCACACTGAACTTCCCCTGGGAGAGAGGCCCCTAATTAAGGTGCACTGCTGTGCGTGTGCTGGGCTCTTACTGTGAGAACTACCGCGGTGTTGGCACAGCTGGTGCTGGTGCAGCTGGAGTCCTGGTTGGGACAGTCACCCCAGGGCTTGCCTCTGCTGTAGGGACGGGTGCCAGAGGAGGAAACAGGTGACAGAGGCCGACGGAGTCCACGGGCCCTTTGCAGAACTGTCGTTGTGCTTCTCTTGTGAGGTGCAGTGGTGACTATGTATCTCTCCGCTGTAAAAGGGCACTTTGTGAACTCTAGTTACAGAGTTTGCAGGAGAGACCAAGCAGATTTTTATTACGAATTGTTTCTGCAATATTTAAATAAAATATTTTATAGTTACACATTTTGTAGATTCTAGCATTTGTATTGATTTTTGCTGATTTTCCAGACTATTTCTGAGGCTCAGGATTTACACAGCTATACGTAGCATCTGTGTAGAAGTAGACCTGCTCCAGTAGACTCTGTGTGAACTTGTGCACACCCACACTGCTGTTCCTTACACTACCACGCCCAGGGCTGCTCTGCGGATAAGGGTGCAGTCTTGCCGTCTCCCGTGTCTCTTGGAAACAGACACACATCTGACCACGCTAACACATCTCACACATCTCACACAACTGTTTGTGTAGGCCATCGCTGCGGCACTGGCTGCAGTGTTACCTGCCAGAGACACGGGCTCCATTGTTCATAAGCCTCTGTGCTTGCTCATGGTTGGCACTGTGTTGAACGCACACAGGCAGAGCTACTAGAAGCTTTTTAAAATGTGAATGTCTCTGCACTCCCAACTAGGTAGACCAGCAAATGGCTGTATCTATTGACATAAAAAATTGCCATAAAAATTTAAAAATGTTTGGACATACTGGTAAATTATTTTTATGAGTTTTTTATTTACAATTGATAGTCATTTGTTTCTCTATTTCTAGTGAGACTTAAAAATAGCAATTAAAGTTTTATAAATTAATAGCAATTAAAGTTTTATAAAAAGTAATTTCATATTTGGCTTATAAATATGTCTGCCTTTAGTCCATCGTGGCCCATTAGTCTGCAAATGTGGCTCAGTGGTAGAGTCCTTGCCTAGCATGTGTGAGGCCCTGGGTTCAATTACTAGCACTAAAAAAATTATTATGGCTAAAATTTAAGGGTATTTGTAGGGTGCTTCCATCCAGTTTTGTTTTTGTCTTTTTGAGACGACATCACTATGTAGTGCAAGTTGGCCTTAAATTCACTATGTAGCTGAGGCTGGCCTTAAACTTGGAGCAATCAATCCTGCCTCAGCCTGCTGAGTGCTGGAGTTACAGGCATACACCACCACACCATTTCAGTTTTATGAAGGGCAAGTATTTTGTACTGCCTTTTTGTTGGGATTACTAGCAGGTAAATTTCTTTGCAATTCAAAATAAAGCATTGATATTTGGAAGCATGCATTTTAGCTTACGTATTTAGCTCTCTAAGCCGTTTTTCGGTTTTATTTCTCTAATTTCTTCAATGGAAGAACTGAGTAGCTAGATCGGGGAGCCTCCCCAGAGCTCTGCAGAGACTGAATGCTGTTAGCATGAACCTAGTTAATGTGCTGCAGGGCACACAAGCTGCTGTGGACATCGGTGGCCCACACATTTAGTCTCCAGTAAAGCATACGCTTAGTAACTCAGTTCAAACACACAAATCAACAGAGACTGAACAGGAGGTAGGCTGTTTTACTATGATGATGCGTGCTGGCATTTTCTGTTGTTGTATTGTTAGCTTTATTTTTTGGTACTGGGGATCCAGCTCACTACCTCACTGTAGTCAGGGGCTGTGGTGCCACATTTCATGTTGATTCTGCAGCCATTCTTTCACGGCAAGTTGAAGGCCTCTGGGAGCGCTACTTATGCCAGCCTCGTTGCCTCCCAGCAGCACCTGCCGGGCAGCAACTGGTCCTTGCTTCCCTAGGCTGACACTGGTACAGTCTGAAGAGGGACATGTTCTGTCCTTTGTTTTAGTCTCTGCCATGGACTTTGGAGTACGCTAGTGGACATGGACATGAGGCGGAGAGGTACATGCTCTTCCTCAGGACCACCCTATGACCAGGAGCCACATCCTTATGTTTCACAGGAAGGGGATGCATGCAGAAGGCTGGGGACACTGAGGTCACCTGCGCATGAGAAGGAAACTGGATGTCAGTGCAGACCAGGATGGCTTGGTCTCACCGTTTCCAGGCTCTGGCGTCTGGTTTTTCCTTCCATGTTTTACCAGTGTATATTTGTGGTACATAAACCATCCATCGTGGGGAACTGGTGTATATACACATTATTGTCTTGTTCCTTTGTTGCTGCTCCCTTCTGTTTCCAGATACCACACGAGGCTCTGGCAGCATCTCTTGCCCACTTTAATCTGTGCAGCGGGCCTGAGAGATTACCTGTCTCTAGGGCTTGCACACTCCAGGAACCTCCTGAGGCTCTCTCCTTTAAATGCAGCCAACACTCCATGCAGAGAAGTACATATCTTCATTGATTGTGAAATGACCCGCATCTTACATACACAGCCTGCAAGAGGGGCTCACTGCTTTGAAGGAAAAGTGCTGGTGCTGCCTTATATCACTTACTGTTGGAAGCACTCTTGAGTGTACGCTTGGCCATGCAGGTAAACATGCGACCTTTTCAGCCCTTGAGACAGCTCTGGAAGCAGGTCCTGTAGTGTCACATGGCAGAGGTCTTGCTCAGTTGTTTTGGCCTGTGAGCAGGTGGCACCTGCCTTCACTCAGGAGCCCTCTGCAGACATGGCCCAACCCTGTCCAAGGAGGTGTCTGCTTCCTTTAGGACTCACAAAAGGTACTAAAAGACTCTAAACATGTTTCAGAACTGCTGCCTGCATCTCCAGTGGTGGTTGCTGAGGGAAGCGGGTAAGTTAGAGGATTCCTGGAGACGTCAGCTGGATGGGACAGCCCCTGTACTGTGGGAGGTGAGACCCTGAAGCCAGCACCTCACATGTATGAGCCTCAAAGTCAAGAGGTCGGGTCCTCTGCTTTGGAGAGGCCCAGCAGCTGCTGCTGCTGGCTAGTGGACAGCACATCATGGACTTGTCAGACCCTGACCACTGCCAGCTGAGGCGGTCCTGGCCGGGCACAGCCCTTTCCTGGCATCAGCTTCCCTGGTGCTGCTTCACTGTGCTCTTGGGTGCCCCACCACGTGGTAAATGTTAGTTGCTACTTTAAGTCAACTATTAAATGTTCCCTAACAACAGTTTTCAGGTGATGTGATGGTTAGCTGTAGCAGGTCCTCTAAAGGACAAAAGCAGGTTTTCTCATGGTACTGTTGTGTGTAAAGAGAGGCTGGTCCCTGAAGACACCTATAGCATCTTCTAGGTCACGTGAGACTTCAGAAGGAGTCCTCACTTGCCCTTATGGAAATACTTCATTTGCTGTAACTTCCTAAAATCAAGGTCTCCTAAATTACAGGGAAGATTTTGGCTTGATGGGTAGGTTAAATGCTTGGGACAATCTTGAGACTCCATTTGACATCTTTATCACATCCTGTTCAGTTAAGTTCGGAGTCTGCATGTGTCAAACATTAATTATAGCTTTCTTATGTGACTTCGTCCTTGAAATATCAACCAAGCCCAACAAAAGACTGACTCATTAAAATGTTTCCCTTGATTTGTCTAATTCTTAAATTTCAGTGTTTAGACACGCATGCCGCTATAATTTCACATGGCTGCTGTGGCAAGCCACATTCCCCACAGGATCCTGTCTTCTGTATGTGTGACCTCCTTGTTCACTGCCTCTCTCCTCATCAGGAGGCACGGGCTTGTCCTACCCCTAACCGTGTCACACTCTGCATGTGTGCATATGTGTGTGTGTGTTGTATGTGCACGCACACACACACTGGATGTCAGCCTGATCTTTAGGCAGGCTTCTTTCTAGTCCCTAACTACTGTGCACAGATGCATGGCTTTCTACATGTGTCTCAGCACACTGCCCTGCTTTCCCCTGGAGCTAATTGCGAGTGCAGGGTCAGTACTGAGAGACCGATGTCAGCTGTTCTCACGCCAGTGGCCTCAGGTCCCAGTGGCACTGGACCTCACCAGTATTCTTCACACTCCCGGCCACCAGACAGGCAAATATTTCATTGCTTTTATTTATATTCTAATAACTTATAGAGAGACTTTTTGTTATTTTAGCAGATGTTGATATATCTGCTCTTGTGAATTATCATTTAATATACTTAATGTACTTTTTCCTTTTGGTATTTCATAATTTCCTTATTGTTTTATTAAAAACTGCTTTATGGATATTAGCTGTCACTGTTGTAAATATTTTCCATGATTATTCTATTTTTTAAAAATTTGTTCACAATAATTTTTTTCTATACATAAACTTTAAATTTTGATGTTAAAAATCTGCATTTTTTCCATGCATTTCTTGGTGTTATACTTTGGCCTTTCCCACATCATATTAAAAATCATTTTCCCATATTAATAAAGAATTCACTCATTTTTGCTTCTGACTACTTTGCGATACAATCACATACCATAAAAGTTACTCTTTTAAATTGTATAATGTTGTGCATGCCTGTAATCCCAGCACTCAGAAGGCTGAGGCAGGAGGATCGCTGTAAGTTCAAGGGCAGCCTGGGCTACAAAGTGAGTTCAAGGCCAACTGGAACTGCATAGTGAGACCCTATCTCAAAAAGACCAAAAAAAAAAAAAAAAAAAAAAAAAACCCTGCATAATTCATTGTATTAAAAACGTTCATGGCATTGGCAGCCATTACTCATCTAGTCCCAGAATATTCTTGTCATCCCAGATTACTTTCATAGGCCCATTATTTTTTCCACAGCTCTTTAATGCTCCTTTTGGGTGTCGTCTTAGAAAGGAGGCAGGGGTTGTGCAAGACCCACACTGGAGGGGGTGGCTGGGCCTGGCCCGCCTGTGGTAGGAGCACACCACGCACCTTTGGTACCAGTTTGCTCCTCACTTGGTCCTCAGACTTAAGGCATGTCCTCGTCACCATCAGTGGCAGGGAGCAGAGGATGAGCAGGTCCCTGTGCCACTTGGTCAACATCCCCACTTGGCGGGCAAGGGCAGCTGAGCAGTAGAGGCTGCACCGGCAGGTCAGGAAATAGTTTGCCCTGGCAAAGTTTTCTTTATAGTCTGTGGTCAGTTTTTATAAGGGTTCCCTTATAAGTTAGGGTATTCAGATCCCATATCTCTTAACTTTTTGTTTTCTTTTAAATTCACCAGTACTCATAGCAGCTTTATTCACAGGAGCCAAAACCTCTAAGTGGTCCAAACGTCCACCTCCAGAAGCATGGACAAACATATTGCAGAATGTACATACAATTCAACAGTACTGGACTGAGACTTTTTCATTCTCAATCTGCTTATAGTTTGACAAATAATTCTCCTTTGCCTCTTAACTTCCCATAGCAGCCCCTCTTTTGACCAATGCCCAAAAGCTATACATAAAAGATTCAGGACAGTTACACCCTCACTGTGGACCGAAACCTTGACTGCTAAGAAACACTTTCTGTCCCACAGGCACTGGTGCTCTTGGTGTTCTCTTCCTGGACTTGACAGTGCCTTCTTACTGCCTCCAACCTAGAGCATACCAAGACTTGTGAGGAGTGCTAAGTGTGGAGAGAAGGCCCCAGGAAAATTTGCCACTCAGGTAGCTGCTGCCTGTTGGAAGGGTCAGGGTCATTCTACCACCATGGCCACTGCCCCTGCCAGGACACAAGCAGGGTGAGTGTGCTTCTGTTCTTTCAGTCCTTCCCTGTGTGCTTCTGAGGTGGGTGCTCCAGCATCCAGACAGAGGCTACCAGGACTGTGGCATGACTGTCCCCTGCCTGAGAGCAGTATTGACAGTAGCCACCATCGAAGTCATCTGTGGCCCTGCCACAGGCTATTCCATAAGGAAGTCACCTGGTTTGTAACTGTCACAAGCTGCCCAAGACTCATCCATCAATTCAGGATTTTTTGTTTGTTTGTTTTGTCTTTTTATCGGTACCGGGGATCAAACTCATGACTGCCTGCTTGCAAGGCAGGTGCTTATGCCACTGAACTAAATCCCCAGCCCACCAATTCAGGATTTTTCACTGCCTTTCTTCCTGATAAAGTCCTGTGGCCAATGCCGGACTGTGGCCCCACCAACTTCCCCGAGGACCTGTTGCCTACCATGAGTCACTGATTCCTATGTTGCCAGGGGACAGTGGATTCTGTCCTCTGAACAGCAGATGCACTACTGGAAAAAGATGTGCCCTCACAGACTCAGCAGAATGCCCAGGATGCTGGAGGGTGGGCACAGATGCAGCCTCTCTTGAGCAAACGTATCTCTGGATGTTCCCTGCAGACTGAGGGCTGGGCACTACAGCGAGACCCCCAGATCTCTGCCACATGCCTGTGCTCTGCCTGCTCTGGTTGGCAGCTGTACATTTGCTGCTTGGGCCTTCTGAATGAAACTGGGTTCAGTGATGCTGCTACTCTGCTACTTGTTTAAAATAGCAATCTCCAACTCTTCTGGCTCTGGGGATCAGTGTCACAGAAGACAGCTTTTCCATGGGTGGGGGTGGAAGTAGTCTGAGGATGATTCCAGCATGTTATGTTTATTGTGCACTTGTTCATAATTATACAGCTCACCATAATAGAGAATCAGAGACCTGAACTTGTTTTCCTGCAACTAGATGGTGCCATCTGGGGGTGATGGCAGACAGTGACACCCAAAGTCTGTGGCTTATGTCCAGTTTGTTCTGTAATCTTATTCTGGCCTGCTTCACAAGGATAGGAAGTTAGCAATGGAAGCAGTCTTTCCCACTTGGTAATCTCAGGGTATTCTGCCTTGATTTTAAACTAGAACATATGGATAGTCAAAGTTGTCTCAGACATATTTTTAAGACGTCATTTGTGATTTCAAGCAGTTTATCCTTTCCCAGCACCTACAGTGATGACTCACCTGCCTTATTCACAGACATTCCTTCCCAATCTGGGAGTCTTCTCTGGCTGGGAAGTACCCCAAACTCTTTATAACTGACATAGCTGATCACACCCCAGCAGCAAGAAAGAAGACCCTGGCTCAGTGTCTTTCAAAATATCTGCTAGTGTTTCACACATGCTGAAGATCCCAGGGTTGACCTGTTGCCCTATAAATGCAGTTTGGGTTTGAATGCAACTATTTTATCTGCAGACTCGAGCATGGTTTGTCTTCTCCCCTGAAATGAGACTGAGCTTACTGAGGTTAAATATGACACACAAGCCAGTTTTGAGACCCATTCTGTGTCACTGAAATGTGCTGCCAATGGTGACTGTTTTTTTAAAGAACTCTAGAGTGGCTCTGATAAATCAGAAACGATGGTCAGTGATCTACCTTTAGAGACATCCCATGGGCTGGGGATTTAGCTCAGCGGCATAAGCACCTTCCTTGCAGGTGTGCAGTCGTGAGTTTGATCCCTGGCACCGATAAAAATGAGAAAGACAAAAAAAAAAAAAAAAGAAAGAAAAGAGAAAAAGAAAAAAAGAAAGAAAGACATCTCACGTCTGTGATGAGGAGATGTCCTTGCTCTGTGTCCAGCTCCTACAGAGCTATGTGAACAGATATAAATTAAGGATATATGCTTTAATGTGACTGATAATTACATCCTGCAAAATGTTCAGGTGACATTTCTCAGCTGAGCCGCAATTCTTTCCGGATGATACAGTGTATAGACTCACATTCAGAAGTGACATCTTTGACCTGAGCAGTGACCCCACAAAGCTGTCTGGTTCTTGCAGCCCTTCTGTCCCTGTGTATACAGACCCAGTTTAGTTTTCCTTGGGATCTAACTATTTACAGTTGTGAGCACTACTGTAGCTCTGCTGTTGGTTGACAACAAAGTGAACATTGCAGATACACTGGGTGAAGTGTGGCCCTTGCTAACTGCTTCTGCTCTTTTCTTCTTACACTCCACAGGCTTGTCCTCTAAACCAGTGTGCTTGGTTTGCATGCCGCAAAGCAATTTTGAAGCTTCCTGGTGTCGTTTGGACAGCCAGTGGCCACACGCTACCCAAAGTAGGCTTGGGGAATGTGAATCCCCCATGCCTATGAAACCATAATCTGAGTGAGGCTCTCGATATTACTATACTGGTACATATTTGCCATCATTCGAAATGTTTGAGCCCATCCTAACAGGCGTATTCATTCAAAAACTTTATGTGTACAGAGGAAGACAAGTGCTACGTACCACCAGACCAAACCAGAGTACTATTTTAAAAGGGTAAGATGAACCGAGTTTTAATACTTCTCACGCTGCATAGGGCGCTGTTGTGAACCTTGGCATGTGCTTGGAACCTGCTTGCCTGCACTCGGGGACCTATGCTGTCACCTTCCCTACATGGACAGCACTCACTGGTGAGAACTTCGCACATGCTTTTCCCAAGCAGGTAAGCAGATTTTCTGGTGGTGCAGGAGGCAAAGGAGACTTTGAAGAGCATGCTGCAGTGAGATAGTGCTTGTATGTACGTCTCAGCCTCTTCCCTGGACCCTGTGAAGGATGAGGGGGCTTATCGGTCCTCTCTATGGGTGGTAGCTGCCAGTGCAGCTCTACCCATTGTGCATAACAAAGTACCACCATGGTCAGTCTTCCGTGCAGTCAACTAACCACAAACTGAAAATACTCCAAGAAATGCTATTTGTACTGACTGTGGACTTTCTCTTGTGATTAGTCCCTAAATAATGCAATGTAAACATTATTTATACATTGCATTTCCATTGTTTTAGGTATTATAAGTAAAATCTAAGGATGATTTAAAGTTAGGACTGTGTAGGTTTTATGCAAATGTCACATACAGGCTTGAGCATGTGGAGATTTTGGTATCTTAGGGGACCCTGGAACCAACCCTTTCAGGATCAATCATTAGAAAATCTGTCAGAAACCACCTGATTAAGGAATTTCCACTAACACCTACAACAGTCTACTGCTTCGTTACAAAGTTTGCTTTGCCATTTTCTGACGTTGAATGCCACGGAGTATTTTGTTTTTATTTCCTAGATTTACGCATTTGAAGTGCTCAACTACAACAGGAATCTATCACACAGAAATAAAGTGATGATGCAAAATAAGTACGAGGCCCAGCAGAGGCTGTGAGACTCCTGTGCGTGGAGAACATCTGGAGTGTGTTCAGAATGTTTCCGTTTCCTAGTTTGTTGGCCAGAACTACTAGCTATAGTTCCATAACACTACTCTCCACATTAAGCGATTAAACTCATGATTCTGGAATTCATTTTTATTTTTTAAAGACCATAGACTAAAGGTTAAAACTAGATGGCTTGGTTGTCGGCTTTTACAATATGGTTACATTTTCTGTATGTGATATACCTGCCAAGAGACGTGTCCCTGGAGAACAGAACACATGGGAACCCAAACCCACCCAGTTTCCAGGGAAACTTTTTCCCCTCAAAATTATAGCACTTTTCCTGAGCATCAATTCAAGACTTGAGGATTTTCTTTTGGTAGCAGGCCCGGCAGAGAGGACAGACGTGGAGAGGAGAGCTGTCTCCCAGTGAGAACTCCTCCAAGGCCAGGAGGCAGGTGTGGTGGAACAGGTGTGCACAGGACAGCAGGACTGTGGCTCGGGGATGCCCGCCATCCCCATGCGGCCGGAGTGGGGTCAGGCAGATGGAGCACTCAGAGATCTCACGGTGAGCAGCCTGCGGCACAGGATAGACAAATTTGTGTGTGGGGGGGATGGTAACCTGCCTGTGATAAGCAATTTTAAAGCAAAAATACTTTCTAATATGCTAAGCACTAATAATATACTTTCTGCATTTAAACAAGATGGAAATTTTCAAAATACTTGGCTATGTAACTGCTAAACTTCCTTGGGAAATTTCGCTACTGTGATGTCTTAAATTTTCCCGCATGTTGGCTTTGAGTCTTGTCTTTCTCCTCCCTTCCAAGCTGCTGCATGTGCAAGAGGCAGGCAGCCCAGAGTCGCAGGGAACCTCCTCCAGGAAGGTCGTGGACATGGTCTCTTCTCTCAGGTCTCTGCATTGCTCACAAAACACCCTCAGCCAGAATCCACCATTTCAATGTGAGGGTCTACTCATAGTAAAGGCTCACAGGAGTGTATGCTAAGCAGGCCAGTCCAGGCAGGGTCCCTCTCCCGAGTTGGTGGGGGATGAGCGGTGGTGAACCTGGCTGCCCGTTCAAAGCCTACCTGCACTTGGATTTTCTCCCAGTCCTCATCAGTGAGCTCAGGGCCACACTCTTCATCCAGCTGCTGAAGAACGCTTCGATTTACAGCCAGGCAGTGGTCGATCTCTGCAAAGAGCTCTTCTATGTTGGTGTCGTAGGAGCACAGTATGCGGTGACTGATTTGGAGGAACTGAGGACAGAAGAGCTGGGCTAAGCCACCAACAGGGCACTCTTGGGGAGGGAGGGGGCAGGAGGTGCTTTCCGAGGCCTGAATACATCTTACCAACTTCCTCTCAGTCTCTGTCTCCAAGCAATGTTTTTAGAGAAACAGACACAGGTTATTAACTTAGGGACTAGGGGCTGGGGATTTAGCTCAGCGGCATAAGCATCTGCCTTGCAAGCAGGCAGTCGTGAGTTCGATCCCCGGTACCGATAAAAAGGAAAAAGACACACACACACACAAAAGTTAACTTAGGGACTGGGCTAAGAATGCTTTCCCAAGGTCACACCCAGGCCTTGAGAATGCTCAAGGTGCCTTGCTCCATTCCATGGGTCCCTGAGGACACTTCCCTGCCTGCAGGGGTACCCGTTTCTGTTCAGAGATCATCTTTGCAGGTCCCCTTATCTAATGCCCCGAGCCCCTCCTACTCTGTCTCCTCGGCACTATTGCTTGCACATGTATTTTAACAAGACATTTGATTTGTCATCTCTCCCCACTGCACGCCCAGCCCTGCGCACCTGGGAATGGGTAAATGAGGAGACTGCTGTGTGCATCCAGTGCTGAGGGCAAAGCCTGCACTCAGCAGCCCAGGCCTTCGGAACGCCTCACACAGCCGCCCATATCTCTCTCATGCTGCTGTGCACAGCTGGATTTGTAGGGCAGCACCATTTAGGCTGCCTAACAATCATTTTCACACCAACAACTCACCTTTCTTCCTTAAAAGAAATTAAAAGCCCTTTTAAATGAGAAAAATAATTCCCTTTATATGTAATTAATAAAATGTTTTATTCAATCCAAATTAGATGATTTTAACTTTTATCACTTCTGGGCATTCAGTGGTGAATGACAAAAGAATGAACACAATTTCTGTAGAGGCTGGTTCAGGCGCTGTGCAAGCCCTCAAGATGGAAGACCACAAAAACTTGTTCCTGGGGGCTGGAGATTTAGCTTAGCGGCATAAGTGCCTGCCTTGCAAGCAGGCAGTCGTGAGTTCGATCCCCGGTACCGATAAAAAATGAAAAAGACCAAAAAGAAAAAGAAAAAAAAAAACTTGTTCCTTTACCATTGCCATTTAGCAGGAAGCCAGCACTGACAGCGGAATGTGCTGCTGCTGAGGCAGGAGGGCTGGAATTTGTGCGTTCCTGGGGAGATACAGGAGGTGACACAGAGAGGCAGAGGATGCTGGGCAGTATGCCATGAGCTAGGACCCTGCTATCACCAGAGCCTGGGCTGCCACAGCCTTTGCCCTGACCCTGCCTACCCTATAGTCCCAGTTCCCTTCTTAACACATTACCATGCAGTCTGCCTGATCAAAAACTTCCCATGGCCTCTTAATATTTGTAGGCCACTAACCTTCCCTTTTACTCTCTCCTGTAAGTGATCAACTTGCTTCCTTGGTTCTGGGAAATATTTCTGTTTCCTCCAGTCCTATGAGTAACTACAGGAAACTCCACTTAGGCTCCCACATATACTTCTGGCCCTCCACCTGCTGGCTCATGTTATCTTTTCTGTGTGTATTTCTTATCTCCTCAAATGAGTGCCTTAGATTTGGGGGAGCACCTGAGTCCTCTTTGTAAGGCCCTTAGCATTCAATAAAAATTTAAGTTTGCAATAGATTAGAAATAAGGACAAATACATGCCCCAAATGTACATATTTGAAAGGAGTGCAGTAGAAATTCCTTCTTGAGGCATAAGAGAAAAATTCTTGTCTAGAATCATTTTGACGTTACTTCCAAAACTAAAAATGTTAGCTTATAACCAGTATGCTGATATTAACTTACTAAACATGGTGAAAATTCTTCAATATTTTTTATGGTATGATATCTCTAAAAGTGAAGTGATGTGACTGCTCTTGTAAGTCCAAGCACTCCAGAGTTGGCAAAGGTGATGCCGTGGGGACCTGGGGTGCAGCTCAGTGCAGTGCTCCCTCCTCAGCACCAAAATGGAATTTTTAATCCACATATTGGCCACTGATTGTAGTCAGTTCCAAGCAGCTTCCTAAGTGCAACTACTAGTAAACATCTCTGAAATGTCAAATTCTTCTGTGTGCAGGGTTCTATTTTCCTTTATCTTTCCCCTTCTTTTGATGTGGGTTTGTTTACCTTAGTAGTCGAAAGGGCAAGAAGTATCCAAAAACACTGACAAGTGAGTTCTGGTTTTTACTTATAGTTAATATAAGGAATTCTACATAAACAGGTAAAGCATATAAAAATTAAAAAGAATCAATTTAAAAAGAATAAAGGTCTTAATACAGGTTTCCTTTTAAGTCTCATAATTCAGATATTTGATGAATTAGGTAACTAAGGCTTTGGGTCATTGTTATGTAAAGCAATTACAGGTCATTGACAAGTAACATACTGGCTAAACATTAAAAAAAACATGCTTAACAAAAGTACCCAGGTGAACTTTGTCTACCCAGGAGGCGTCTTAAGTGATCCATCTTGATGTCAGCAAATTGCTTACTAATGTGTTGACTTACGCCACCCTCAAAAGCAAAATGAAAAGCCTGGAATTTACAGCATATCAATGAATCAGTTGATAAGCTTTTACTGGTTTAATATCCTCCCAGTCTTGCTGCCTAGAGCCACTTCAAGTTAGCAACAGAATGTTTGCCATCTCTATGTGATAAAGGAAGTCAAAGGACTGAGCAAACTTGAAGACCATTATGCTGTTTGGTGAGATGGAAATGAAAAAGCCTGAGCAGGCCAGGGGCTGGTGGGCGTGGGAGCAGGCGCCCCTGAAGTTCAGCACAGCATCTGACAGATCACTAACTTCACCTTTGAAACAATGCTTGGGACTTTAGCTGGGCTGAGATAACCTAATGCATTTGAAAAGTTCTAATTGTACCAATAAAAGACCATGCCTTGGTTATATGACATATGCTAGCAGAATTTCCAGATAAGGATCAAAGGCATTCAAGGACCAGTCACTGTGCTCTGGGCAACCAGGGGCTTTCTGTACACAGTGCTGGTGGGAATCAGGCTAACGGCTTCATGGCCTTTGCAGGCTCTTTGATCCGAGTTTTCAAACCTGTGTAAGTAAGTGTACCAGGACCACTGTATCATCCCCAGACAACTCCAACATCTGGCAAAGGCCTTTGAGGCTGAATTTTAATTCTCTGATATTTAAGGATACAAAACTCAATGCTGGGCTTTTCCATTCTTCCCAGGAGACTCTGGCATAGTAATAAAAAGAATTTGCATTGTAGCACTAAGTTATGTGCTGTGGCCCAGACTCGTCAGCAATGTGTCAGATGGCAGGGAAGTTCTCAGTGTAGAGGAACGTCCCTGTGGACAGATGGTCCCTGAAGATTATTAATACCGAATACATACATGAAAACCAAAGGAAGACTTGGGCATCTGAGATTATAGGAGTAAAACCCAGGACCACAGTTCTTTCATAGGCAAAACTGACAAGTGAGAAAAACAGCATGGCCTAAGCTTATCTCAGCTGGGCTATTAAAACAATGTCTGCTCTAACCTACAGAACACAAAGAAAGCAACCCTTCCTAATTTGTTTCATAATACCATCACTGGTGTTTAGGCACCCTTTCCTTTCTTTCCTATTGATTCAACTTCTTTTTCCTTGAAGGTAATTTTTCTTTGATCTATGGCAGTGGTTCCCAAGTACAGCAAGAAGTTTTCACCCACCAACCCACCAAAGGAAAGTTAAGTTCAAAAGAGGGAATTTTTATGCAGTTTTAAGTCCACTGTGACAATGCACATCCCTGTGTGTACATGGGGGCTTCCTACTACACAGGTGTTGAAGTAGTCTTTCTTTTATTAAATGTACTTGTGAGTACATGGTGTTTTGTTTAAAGATCCTTTCCTGGGACCTTGCTGAAACCCACGATTTCTCTTATAGTTCGGTAGACCTCTGAGATCCTGAACTGAAACAGGCTGTTCAAGACAAAGGAAAGCCAGCTGCCTTTCCTTGAATTGACTGACTGGGAGCAGCAGTGGATTCCATATCTATCTATCTTTAACTTTGGAATGTGCCACATCATTATTTTTCCATGTAATTTGAAAGTTTAATTGTTAGATTAAAAATAAAATGAATTTGCATTAATATAAAGTTTCCCAACAGTGAGAAAGGAGATGCGGATTGGAAATGAGGTTGGTGGTTCCACATTTCTTCCAATTTAAAGAACTGGGATTATCCCAGAGATGAAGAATCTGCCACATTCCATACTACCAGTGGCTGCATGTTCTGCCCTGTGAAATCTCCAGGTCCTAAAATTCAGGCATTAGATGTGAGTAGTGCGTTGCAGGATCTAAAGCTGTGTGCACCCCAAGGCTGGGAAGGGTGGTGAACAGGTGAGGGAACACACTGGCTTCCTGCTGGGCCTAAGACCTGGCGTTCAAGGATGTTGCAAATAGTATCACAAGCCAGTCGCCCACCTAAGGGTGCCTGGAGGGAGCCACTGTTCATCTTGGCTTTGGAATTTATTTTTAATGGGTGCTACAGTAAACCTGAGCAGGGACACTGATTCATCAGAAGGTGGACTCTGCATTTCAGTACACACTTTGGCCTGAACCGTCTTCTGGAATCTAAGGTGAGGGTAGATATGAGAACTCAGGGCCAGCAGTTTTATTTTTTGGGTATATAATCTGAGATTTCTAGATTTTAAAGCCTTTACTTACAACCTTATGTTCAACAAAGTATTTCGGTAAGTTTTTAAAGGAAGATAATCAATTTAAACTTTCTTACTGAAACGCATATTTATTTGACAAAGATAATGACTTTGTTTCTACAAGGAGAAGAGCATTTCCCTTTCTTCCTAAGGTACAGTGGCCTGTCAAGTTAAGTGAACAGACCGACAGGCTGCCTCAGCAGGGGTGGGTGCTTGCTACACCAGCACGCTGGCCACACTTGTTGGTAAGCTGTTCTTGTTTAAACTGTGAAATATTTTACTTAATAACTGCAATTTTAACAAGCACAGGAAAACGGTTTCAATCCCTAAACACTAA